TTACTTTGAAATTTGAGTTTTAATCTCTCGTACATTTGACTTCAACATTTAACGTCATTTGAATACAGTTTGTTACATTTTGACCCTTTTGTTATACATATATATATACGATTTTTTTTATTTGTACTCGTATATATAATATTATAAGGTATTTCTCCCGTCTTCCTAGCGTAACTTCGTGGTGTAGTGGTTCTGCACACTGGGCCGCTGTTTCAGAGGTCCGTGGTTCGATTCCCGACAAAGGCGTTGTTAATTTTTCATCTTTCCTGCTTCCAAAATACCTAATGTCTCTACAGTGGTGCCCGAACTAAAAGAGTGTTGTATGATGATTCTCCTCATAATTTGGATTCCATAAATTTGGGCGATTGCGTTCCCTAAAAACCCCAGTCACCCTTTAAAAGGGGGAGTATATAAGGTATTTTTCCCGCCTTTCTAGCGTGCCTTCGTGATGTATTGGTTCTGCACGCTGGGCCGGTATTTCAGAGGTTCCGTGTTTCGATTCCCAGCGAAGGCGTTGTTAATTTTTCATCTTTTCTACTTCCAAAATACCTAATGTTTCTACAATATATATATATTACTGGAAAAGTTTGAAATCCGGCATTTTAAAGAATGCCTAGGGAATTTTAGGCAATGTATGAAACACTTAATATTAAACTTATTTCCTAGGCATTCTACACAATATCAAATGACAAACCGAAAAAATATGAAGCACATTGATGAAAATAAAGTGCAATTAAAAATAAAATTGTTTTCTTTCTTGATGCAACAAGTATATATTTTATTTTGTTTTCTTTAGCAAGAAAGGCATAAATTTTGCTTTGTATAACTTTCCCTTTCCTTTATTTTAAATAGATTTTTAATGGTGGTCTTATTATATTTTCTAAACATCATTTGTATTTCTGTAGAATACACGTCATTTAAATAAAAGTCTTATCATGACCTTCTTTTTACACTTTGCCTTAATAACATTTGCCGCTCTAGGAAATGCCTGGAAAAAGGATATAACATATTTAAATAATTCTCATATTTCATACTTTGCTTAAAAATGCCTTTCGTACATTGCCGGAAACATACATATGGGCTCATGAATATTAATGAATTTAACCTTTCCACGAAGCGTTCCTAACAACACATTCAAAATTCTTGGAACAAAAGGAAAAGGAATTAATTAACTAATTAATTACTCCTGTAATAATTAAATATCTTGCACTTTGATTTTAACGAGCAGCAAAATTTCTGTTATGCATATGTGAGAATGAGCTCATGATAAATGTTTCCATAAATTGTTTAGAAAGTCCACAAAAAAAAAAAAAAAAAAAAAAAAAAAATCATTATTTTATTTTTCCTTCTAGAAATCCATGCTAAGCTTGACTACAGTTTTTAGAGCATTAAGAATGTAGGTGGTTATTTTATCTTTTCGATACTTTTTATTACTTTGTTGATATAAGGATCATATGACAAGAATTAGTTTTTGAAATGACGCAGTTTAGAGAGATTTATAAGCATGTTACTATTTCTAGGTTAGAAAGGGGAAATTACCTAATTAAAAATGGGGATTTAAGGGACTAATACACATTAAGTTAGGATTTAATTTCACATATCCTTATCTTACACACGGAAATATTCAGAAACATACAGGTAAATATTAATGAATATAGATTTTCCACAAAATTTACTAACAAAATATCCAAACTTTTCAGGCGAAACGAGTACACTTTATTAATCCATTGTTATATAGTCATTAAGTTCCTGCATTTTGATTTTAACAAATCTCAAAATGTTACGTTTCTACCTGTAGAAGTAAATTTATAACTTTCGTTTCATAAAATCCACGGGAAGGAAACAATGAAATGGTCATCTGAATGTCAGTAATGACATTAACAATGGCAAGATGAGAAGTATGCATTTATTGTTATTGGTATTTTCTACAGCGAATTTCTACAGCTTGCACTACATCTATTTATATTTTTTTGAACAGATGATGCCTTAAAAATAGTTAGTTATAGTTTTAATAAAAGTACAGCATAATTTGATTTTGCTTCTCTCACTTAAAGAAATACATAACCGTATTATCAGTCTCAGTTATAAGTTTACAGGTTGAGAGATTAAGTATTTTAACTCATAAAAGATCTCGTTTTGAGCTTTATTATTCCTAAATGTAATTTAGACAGATGCGTTTAAGACGTCAGTAATTTTAAGTCTGCAAGCATAAGAAGATTTTGACATCATTTAGCAAAATTAATTCTGATAAAATATAAAATGACTTTTATAACTTTGCACTTCCAAAGTGAATCATTTCGAATCAATACCTATTTTAAAGTTACTATGTAGACAATCATAACAAACTGCGGAAAGAAGAAAGAACTGGAAAAAGATTCACATTCATGTTCACTAAATGTGAAACAAGGAATAAACAAAATAATGGTTTTTATGCTTCAAAGTTTGAAAGCTATAAATGATGTGGGTCTACGCTACTGCCTAATATCTTTTATCTTAAACACATGGATAAATATTACATGCATACATAATGAATTTTTAAATGAATGAAACACCAATTTTCATCTGCTTCATTTTACATGCACTGCAGTGAAATACTTAAGTATGCCATTTGTCAAGAAATTTCAGATACATATTCCAAGATTAAACTTAACAGTGACCAAGAAGCAAGGTAAAAAATGACACGGTTATGAAAAACAACAGATACTTTTAAACACTAGCATAAAAGGATTTCAGAAGTATCCAGACAATTTCAAATACACATGTGAATTATTTAATTCAGATATATCTAATAAAACGCACGCGAGTAAAGAGCACAGAGTTTTAAGTAATTATGGAATTCGTCCTGTGTGCTCTATTTTACAGCTAGTATTAAGTATATTCAGTATGTCTCAGTATATAAGGGATTATTTGCTTATTGTAAAAGTGAAGGATATTTCTGTGGAGGATTCTACAAGGGAAACTGACTGTTATTCGTGTTCACACGGGGAAAATCGCAGAACGTTGATACAATTAGACCATCTGCCAGGATACTCACTCGACGCCCAGATGGTATAGTGGTTAAGGTCGCCTGACTGCGATACCGAAGGGCCGGGGTTCGAATCCCGGAGGAGGCTTGATGCAAAAATTGTCTGTCTCTTCATAGGAGGCAAAGTTGACCCACCTATTAGGTGCCTTCATAATAAAGAGACCACCGCATCTGGCCTTAGGAGTGGCCGATGCAGGTATAGACAAGTGCCCGCCATTGAAGAAAAAAAAAAAAAAAAAGGATTGTCACTTTATCTGCAATGTTTTAGGTCTTCAGTATATAAGAATAGTTAATGTATAATTTTCTTTCTTATCCGGCTGCATGTTGCATGATTAAAAAATGAAGACATCGCTTCAGCAATTTTTAATGACAAAATTCTTTTAAGTACGATGTTGTAATGAAGCAATTCTAATTACGATCACTACATCAAAATCCCAATTAGAATACAACTACTCAGTCAAATTTTATTTTAACAGATATCTGTTACCTAAAAAGTTTCATATTCATGATGATATAAAGATATTCATGATATCAGTGAAGATTTATAGCTAGATGTGAATACATATGGTACTTAAGTATTATTCCACTGATCGTGAAACTCTCTCCAAACAGAGCGATCTATCTCGTTATGGATGAGAATGACGTAATAACAAACTCATAACCTATACGCTTTCGTTTATGTAGGTCCTATTGAGTCTTGATAAGCTACTCTTTGTTTTATGTGCTAAGTTATAAATTAACCGTTATTGTTGTTTTTGGTGCATTTAAAAAAATGATTAAAATTTGGGACTCATTTTCTGCAGAACAGCAATCAGTGAACTAGTTTTAAATTTATGGGATATTACCATAAAAAGGTGTGTGTTAATGAACACGATATGGTCAGCTGAAGAAGGTCGACAAACAGTAGTACACTGGAGCGCGTACGTGAAGGAAGTTTAAACTCATAGGACTTATTCTAAGAAAGCTTCCAATAAAAAAAATCGTAGAGCCTAGCAAAATAGTAGAAATCAACGAAAACCTTTTCTTACGAAGTGTAAGCACGAAGCAGGTTGAATAGTGAACGTTTTGTGTGTTTGTAGTCGAACCAATATTTCGTGGAAGAAAGATTGACAGAGCCTCAAGGACGTTCGAATTCTTTCACCTAAAGTTTGAAGGGGAGCACTCCGAGGGGTGGTCCGAGGCTCTCCCAGCGCTCTCCCTTAATACCAAACCACACGACAGAACTCTCGGTTTGCCATATGTTATTTAGAGTGTCCCTATGCCGCAAATGTACTATACATTTACAAACATGCATTTCTTCTCATGGATTCGAACTCGGGACATTCGGTATGGCAGTTAGTGTCACTAACCACTATCCCGTCTGGCCGGGGTTGAATACTGATTGTTTATTAAATAAAGATTCGACAGTTTCTTCGGAATTCCTTGGCGCAGTAATGGCAAGATCTCCACTATCTTCCAGGGTTCGATAGAAGCTAAACATTTACGGTCGACAGTTCCATATATATTTGTTAAAATTACTGTGGAAGCACCTGTTATCTCAATGCAGACTTCCTTATTACAAATAAATTTCACTAATTTCGTTTACAATAAGTAGGAGGAATTTCAGACCAGTTAACTATAATAAAACAAAAAATGTATATGCTTTCCTAAATGGTAACCACGTGCAGTATTTGTAAATGGCATTTGGCTTAACATGAAAAAATCAGAAAAATTTCAATTTCTAGCTTGCACTTTCCGAGAAATTAAAATACAGAACTTCTAGCATTTTGTGGATTCATTCAATTATTTACTGGTTGGTCAAGGAAAGCATAGAGGCTAATTTATATTTAGCCTAAAAGTGTAATATATAAATACTCTATAGAAATGAGGACTAAGGATATAGCTCATTAAGTAAGTAAATGGTTTCAAAAATATTTATTTTTTATGCAGTTACTAAACGCAGAATCACAGAGAGGTAAATCAAAAGAAAACTTACGACAGATATTCACAATAATCCCAAATCCCCTCTTATCAGTCTTCAAGAACTCTCTTCTTTTAAAGGCTCATCGAAAGTTACTCATCTAACACAACCTAGATAAAATGAAAAGGAATGTATTGTTATGAATTTTGCATATATGTAAATAATGTTAGTGAAAATATATGCAAAATTATAGTATCTCTGTATAATATATCATAAAATGCCTCAAAAATGAGAAGCTCCCCCGGAAAATTTATGTTACTGGAGCAAGTCTGTTTAACATTGAAGTAAATAACTATCTCGCCAAATTGGGTAGATAGCGCCAAGCTGGCGATGGTTTTGGTGACTAATTTTTTTCGCCAAATTTGGCAAAAAATCACCAAAGGTCGCTAAATTAGGCGACAATTTTATTGTCCCTGTATAAGTGTAATTGATATGATCCCTATACGTAACTGTAACCATATCCGGCTATATGAAACTGTAATTGTGTATGCCTTCCAGAAATTTTGAGTATAATATGAAACTTTGAGGAATGTATGAAGTCAACATTGCATGCAATGTAGCATTTTACTTCGAAATATAATTTTATTGTAGCCTTGAAAGATTACATAAATGCTCAAAACGTGAAATGGAACGCTTTTAGAACTTTCGTATTTTACCAAAAAGATATTCTAAGAAAGCATTCTATAGAAGTATTTCTCTAATGAAATTTAAAATATTTTACATTAAATTTGTTATTAATTTATAAACCCTAAAAGATTATTCAATAAATCTTTATTAGAGAGTCTTCGAATGAAAGTTCTTTATAGGATATTTTAAATTTTCAAAGAAGCAGTTCAGTGTGATTATGCAATGAAGACACGAAGAATATTTATACATTGTGTCATAGTTAACTAACAAATTTTTAGAAACTTCGTGCTTCTGACTGTTTTTGCATAAATAAATAATTTAATAGAAAAGTCTGTATAAAATTTATATTGCTTTTGGATAACGTATTATAAACTAAGGAGTAGCTCTAACATTCTAACATAATTTTATCAACTATGGGTTTAAACATTGTTGGTAAAATTTAGTTCAGAGATTCGAATAGCCTTAAATTTAAATATGCTTTATTAGACTGAAGATTCTGTACGTTTGTACGTTTTCTGTGTGACCTTATTTTTCTTAGAGGTGTGCGCGCTAATCTAGTGTTCTTATAGTGTTCAGTGTATTAATTTATTAACACGCTGAAATCTATAATTCATGTAAATTATTTTTTAAGCAGACAAATAAAAACATATAGTAATTTGTGAATAAAATCATTAAAATGTCACATATAATTTCATTATTGTAACTTTTCTATTATTGACGAACTTGAGAAGTAACATACTTTCTCAGAAAATCAAAATGGAGACGTTCACCTTCTTACCGACATAAGAGAGTTATTTCTTTCCAAGCTGAACTAAACATATAGAATACTGAGATTATATATTTTGTATCTCTTTCTTTCCCTTTACAGTTTTAATGTTACTACTTCAGTTGACTGTTCAGCAAGATATTTGTTCTTCGTTTTGCCCAGTTCTATTAAGTAAATCAGTTTCAGTCTAAAGCTAGAAATGTTTCCCGTAGAATAACATGCGAAGTTTTATAGTGCATGCAAATTTCATACAATAGTATTTTGTCTCAAATTACAATGATTTCAAAGTGTAACTGAGAGTTAGTCAGCAGAACCAAAAATGTCCAGTAATGAATGAGAAAGAGTAAGCCTATTTTACTGAGTCTACAATAGTTCTCAAATACTCCGTGAGTTGCTGCATGTACTAAGGTATGGGTTAAAAGGAAGAAAAGAATTTCATAGTCAGATGTAGAAGACAATTTGAAATTCTTGCAGTGAGATTAACTGGAGAATTTAAACCTTTACAAAACAGCTGTTGTGAAATAAAACGTTGTTTTGTCTGGCGGAAGATATGACGCAGATTACGGCGATAATTAAAGTACGAATTATGTTACATATCCTCCATATTTTTAAAGAGCATTTAATGTTATTCTTTTGTAACAAAGATGTAGAGTCGTTAGGTTATTTTGATGCTGAAGAAGTGAAAAATGAGCAATGCCCTCGCTGGGACTCGAACCTGGACCTCTCGAATACGCGTTGAATGGGCTAACCGTTACACCGTGATTGGTTTGGTTTGGTTTGTTAGATTACGGCAAAGCACTCGAGGGCTATCTGCCTTAAGGGAGGGATGCCTTCGTGGAGGACTTTTTAAGGGAAATTGGCTCGTATACACGTTACACATGGGGAAAACCACGAAACACCCATGCAGCCAGCCCGTTCGCGGGATTCGAACCTCGGACCGAACTACCAGTGTTCAGCGACGTTACCGCTCGGCCGCTGGTGGGCCCCGTTACACCATGAAGACATGCAGAAAGGAGGAAGAAAATACCTTATAAAGGAAAACAAAAAATCAAGAAAAATGTAACATTTCAAATGTTATTCCAAATGTGCAGTATTCTGTATATTGTTAGAAATTAAAATAGCTGTCTACATCTCCATGAAATTAGGAAGAAAAATAACACTCAATGGAAAGTAAAACCTACTAAATACCAAATGAATGGAAGACTCTTCAGATCTTACCAGACAGGTTAATGAACTATCGCTACGTGTTAACAAAACTACTAAATAAGGTTTTAAAACAACTTCTTTATTTAATAAGAACTTTTAAAATAAAAAGAAAGATTTGCGTTACAGACAAAAATCCCTTCTCGTGGCTAAAGTAAATTAAGTAATAAAAGTCAAATAAATATAAACGTTAATAAAATAGTCTATAACTACACAGTCAAATAAATATAAACGTTGATAAAATAGTCTAAAACTAAACAGTCAAATAAAAAAGCTGTAAGCTGGCTCGATTAATTTTACCGGGGCGTAAGTTTAAAATATCGAATGCGAGAGCATGAAAAGTCGGAATAATAACTTTTAGATATAGCTGGCGAAATTCTGTTCCTAATCTAATAACTTTTAGATATAGCGCGAGTTCCAGAAATTCTCTCTCTCTAAGATTCAAAACTCTCAGCTAATAAAATCTAAAAGCTAATTTGCATTTTGGTGAGGAATACGGAAATAAGAAGTTATAGTAAAGATCAAAATCCTAAATTAACTCAAGAACCTTACACGGTGCGTGCTGAAAGGATGTTGAAAGTCTTTAATTATACCACAGTTTAATATGTAACATTTATAGAATTCCAGATATGTTCATTTGGAAATTACCAAAGAATGTCATTCAGCTTCTATTAATAAATGTAAATCAATATCACATCCAAACTCTTTTGTAATTTAGCTGTTACAGTTCATTGTACTATGATGCTTTAAAGCTTTATTCTAGAGAGCATTCTTCAGTTGTCATAATTTCAGTGCTTCTGAGAGTCTGTTTTAATTTCAGCGACCGGCGCAATGACCTTTTTCTGTTATTCTATGAAGACATAACTCCCAGCTCGTAGCTTCCGCTTGCAGTTCTTAAGTGGCATTACTTCCGCATGAGCTTGGGGAAAAAACTCATTAAAACAATCTCCCAGTGTGATAAGTGCTACGAATATAAAATCAGAAGTACTGATTGTGAGGACAAACGTTTTTATCAGCCAAACCTCAGGTCTCTAATTGGAAACAAATTGCATTACAACTCTGGTAACAGCTATCCAAGGTGAGGAGACTAAAAGGAACTCACTTCCTTTTCCGATCGATAAGTATCAGGATATAATTACGGAAATCATTGATTCGGTCCCCCGACAACCCTACAGCGAAATATTTCCCAAACTTATGACTGGATGGTCGGGAGATAACTGAATTTCCAACACTATTAGAGTGGAAAATTTGACTGTCTGAGTTACTGAAGGGCACCAACTCTGCTGAGAGTAATTTTATTACGCAGTAGATATGACATTCCTGCAATGCGAATTACTTCATAATTTTATTCCTTCTGTCAATCAAGTAAGTTATGCCAAAAATACATTTAATCTGTTAATCAAATTAAAGAGTAGAGTAACACTTTGGCGTAAATACTCGCTCTCATTTTTGCTACCTACTCTGGTTAGACATGAAATTTTCACTCAGTAAAGAACTTTCGCTTGTAGTCAATAATAAGCTTAGAATTTAAAATATCTACCATGGACATGGCAAGTGAGGGAGGCATTCCCTTTATTAGAAACGATTTGATATGCAGCAAATCGTTTTACACCTCTCTGAACCAACTTAATTGCTGTTATACTGTTTTAAGCTGTATTAAAATTTTTAGTCTCACCATAAATTCCTTTGCACTGAGTCTATGCGTTTTAAATAGGCCAGAATAAAATATTTCCTTAAATGCACTTGCATCAAAATTGAAACTTTTGTTAAAAGCAAAAAAAAAAAAAAAAAAAAAAAAAAAAAAAAAAAAGTAGATAATCTTTGTGATTTTTATACACTATTTATTGCGACTATGGTTAGTAAAATTTTAAACATGTAAAAAGATAAAAAATAAATTTGCCTATGAACTACGTAAAGAATTAAGAGAGTTACTTCTTAAAAAGTCAGGCTATTCTAAAGCTGATGCAATATGATTAACATAAATTTAAGAAGCATTTTAATATATTCCTATACACATAATAATTAAAAAGGTCAGAAATTATTTAAAATTCTGCATTTTAATGATATTACAATGCGTGATAACACAATCATTACAAACAGAAAAAAACTTAAGAGATTTTCCTATTCAAATCTTTACATAGTTATGCCAAAAACGGTACATGAGATATTATTTTTGTCTGAGGTAGGTACATGTTTTGTATATCAGAAAAGGCTAAACTTTAATAATTTCAATATTCCATTATATTGTATTTCTCAAATAAATATGAGTCTGTTAACTTCTTTCTTTTACATTATAATCATCATTATAAGAAATTATAATGTTCAGCAGTATACATCCAAGGTACTAGGCAACAAAAATTCAATAAGATATAGCTACAAACAAAAATGCAATAAATAATGCTTCTGATAAGCCAATTCCAATGTGCAATGCTCCTGATAAACAAAATGCAATAAAATTTACTGATTTATTTGGTCTTAATTCTTTCGCATTGCGATAGGCTAAAATCTGTTCGT